TACTTCAGGAATGTTATGTCAAAACTGATTTGATAATAGATAAAATAAAAAGTTCTTTTTTCGACAATTCTGCAAAAAACATTAAAAAAAAGTACCTTATCTTCAGAAAGGCTTTTAAAGTATTAATTACAACATAACAAAGTTCCCAAACGGCCAATCCAAGACGTGGAAACTAGGTAGAACTTCACCTATTACAGGTTAAAAAGAATGACTGAGTTAGAAGAGGCAATCCGTTTCACTTCTTCTTCTTTAAGTTCCATCTTCTATCGAAGGTTGGAAATCATCATGGCTATGCCGACTCTGTTGACTGCCGCTCTTAAAAGGTCTGCACTACTGCATTCAAACCATTCCCTTAAGTTCTTAAGCCAGGATATTCTTCGTCTTCCCACATTTCGCTTTTCTCGGAATTTGCCCTCCATAATAAGTTGTAATAATGCGTATTTTTGCCCGTTCATCACATGTCCCAAGTACTCAAGTTTTCGTCTTTTAATAGTTAATATTATTTCTGCCTCATTTCCTATCCTTCTAGTTACTTCAATGTTTGACATTTTTTGAATCCATGATATTCGTAGGATTCTTCTGTAACACCCAAAATTCAAAGGCGGCCAACTTATTCACATGAACTGGTTTTAGTGTCCAAGCTTTCAGACCATAAAGAAGAGTAGAGAACACGTAACATCGAAGCATTCTCAGGCGTAGTTCTAACCTTATATCCCGACAACAAAGAAACTTTTTAAGTTTAATAAATGATGTACGTGCTATTTCAATACGTGTCTTAATTTCTTTGGTTTGGTCTACATCTGATGTTATCCATGTTCCTAAGTATTTATAGTTATTAACACTCTTAATTGCAGTATCTTCAATAGTCAATTGGATATTTGTGCAGATTTAGTCATGATCATGCATTTAGTTTTCTTTAAATTTATCTTCAGTCCGTACTCATGACAGCGATCATTAAGGCGTTGCATTAGGTTCTGTAAATCATTGTTGTTATCCGTAATTATTACTGTATCGTCTGCAAAACGTAAGTTATTCAAAACTTTTCCATTGATAGATATACCTTCTATTGAGTCTGAGAGCGCTTCTTAAAATACCGATCACTGTAGACATTGAAAAGTAGTAGGGACAGCACGCAACCCTGGCGGACTCCTCTCTGTATTTTGATATTTTCGGTATACTGGCGTGTATTTCCGTTCCACATCGGTATTAAATAATACAGACTTAGACTTAGACCAAATCTAAATAAAAAACACTGGATTATTTGTTCTCAGCTTTCCCAAATTTTACGGCCGTTTAAAGAAATAACAAGTACAATGAGTGACCAAAAATACTTGAGGGTAGTTCAGTGATTGTTATGGTACGCGGCCTGCAAGAATCTTGCAAGAAAATTTTAGCAAACGGTAACCTTACATCCATAGTATCCGACGTAGTACAATTACTAATATCGGGTTTAGCAAAAATATTTAAAGGGATAGAGCAGAGTGGCATATTGTCATTATGTACATTTATAGATTCACCATTTAAAGTGCAGGGTTTTTCTGATAAAAATGAAGATAAAAAAATAAAAGAAAAAGTTAAGAAGCTGGTTACTTCTAAAATTAACGAACAAGAAGATTGTACTATTGAAAATCAACCAGTACAAGAAAAAGAAACCAATAAAGATGACTTAAATCCATGGTGTATATTTGATCAATTAATTGGAGATGGCTCATCTACACGTACACCTGTATCGAGAGTCCATTACAACGGTGGAAAAACCATTGCCATGTATATCCTAACTTAACCCCTATATTCATACAGTATTGTAAATGTGAACACATGTTCAAAATCTGGTTTAATTTGAAATACAAAAAGAAGACGGTTAATAAGAAGTAGGTATAGTAGAAAAACTTATGTTTTTTAATGTCAATTTAGACTATTCGCGATTTAATTATAACGTGTAATGTAAATGTAAGTACGATTTACTATTTGTATTGTTTAGTTTATTTTTCAAGTTATAATAAATATATCATTAGTTTCTTTCACTTCAATAAATATACACATAAACGATAATAGCCATTATGTTTGTTTATGTAGGTACTCTCTTACTTGAAACTACTTTTAAACAATCATAGTTACTTGTTTACAAAAATTTAAATTTTTAAATTCATTCATTTTTTTTTTTGGAATCCTGAGAAAACTAACAAATATTTTTGAAAAATTTAAATGCAGAATAAAAGATTACATTATTACCGAGGGCCGAAAGTCCCTTAGAATAAACAAAAAGTTTTTTGAATGAGATATTTAAAATTAAAAATCACACTAATTTTTTTTTTCGCCCTTATAACTTATTAAAGTAAACATTATAGAAGTTTCCAGGGACTTTTGGCCCTCGGTAATAATGTATTGGTTCATTCTGCGTTTAAATTTTTCAAGAATATTTATTAGTTTTAACAGGATTCGAAAAAAATGAATGCATTTAAAAAATATTAATCCGAAATTTCATGCCTACGCTCTTAACGATAAAATTACCACGACCCACCTCTACTACCCGTTACTCGGTGTTCTGACCAGACGGACGACATTGCCAAATAAATTATTGTGTATGAATATTTTTTAATGTGGTGTTATTGTATGCAGTTTATTATTTTATATTGGGAATAAGGCACACTGTGACTTTAAAATAAGCTTATTTTGATGTTTAGATTTTTAATTCGGAAATCGTACTTAAAATACGAAACATTAATAAATTTTATTTATATAAAACGATTTCCAAAGTGGAAATCAAAATGTTATATTACACTTATTGTAAAGTAAACTTGTGGCATATTCCCAATAAAAAAACAGTAAGCTGCCATTTAAATCAATTTCGCCCAAATTGGATTATCTTAGAACATTATTCAAATGCAAAAAAAACAACAGGTCAAATAAATCCAATAAGTTTGGCAACGTTGAACTTCCCCTTTCCAGGCATGCATGTTTGGCGATATAAAGGGCGGACCTAATATACCTCTCTCTTTCTAAACAGCTGTTTCTCACTCCATCTCACGTAAGGTCCATACCGACCATAAAATTTTTCCTACACTGTATAACTTCCATAAGAAAGTACCATACAGAAGATCGACCAATAATTTATCTTAACGAGACATTGTTTAACACTCATGAAACACAATCCAAAGGATGGTCCGATTCTTCCAATAGGTGTCAAACAAAAGCTTCATCAAACAAAGGGAAAAAAATAACAATTTTACATGCAGGATCAGAAAATGGTTAAGTCCCAAATGCCTTGTGGCTTTCTGCAAAGAACATTAAAGACTCCTGCGTGGACTACCATGAGGATACAACGGCAGAGCTTTTTGAGCAATGGTTTAAGAATTGTCTTATACCTAACCTTCCTCAAAATAGTGTGATAGTAATGGACAATTCAAGTTACCACAGTCGTTAATTACATAAGTCTCCAAGTGCCAATAACACGAAAATTGAAATTCAAAACTACCTGTTAGAAAACGATCTATATTTTGAAGAAAGTTATTTAAAAAATGAACTGTTAGAAGTGGTAAAATCATTTTCTATTAAAAAAGTATATGTTTGTGACGCATTGGCCGAGGACATGGGACATTAAGTGTTAAGGCTTCCATCCTACTATTGTTTATTTAATCCCATAGAGCATGTGGCACTAACTAAAGTCAAATATTAGGTCACAAAATGTTTCTACGACTTTAAGTGGTAGTGTAGTCGAATTAATAAGGAAATGTGTTGATGATATCTCCCCAGAAAGTTGGAAAAATTTAGTACGCCATGTAATGAACGTAAAAAAATTATTAATCTTGAAGAGAATAGCGACAGCGAAACAGAATTGGGTATTTAGGAATTCATAAATATATTTTGGTTGTTATGGGTATTGTTTTTTTTTTTAAATATTAACTTGTATATATTTTTCTATATATTTTTTTTAATTCATCTATTTTTTGTACATTATGTATTCGTTTGTATGTATATACTGTAAATAGAACTATTATTACTGTACATTTTTAACTATATCCGATTAGGAAGAGCAAAAACTTTTAAAGACGCCAGTTTTTGATGACAGTCCTAAGCCTGTAAAAAGTGTGAAGGAAAGTACCTTTCTGAATTTAGATTCATATACTACAATTATTCACGTATAATAAAAAAACTACTTTCTTTATGTTAAAAATTGTTCAATTATCAAGTATATTCACTTGAAAGACCTGAAAATACCATACGAAATAATTTAATAAATTTTTATAATCGTGTATTACACAGCTACCAATGAAATATATTAAATAACAAACTTTCTGAAGTGCGACCCTGTGTACTTCGGTAGTTTATTGAGAGACTCTCGTATACACAATAGGATCAACTCAGGTAACCATTAAGCACTCAACCATTTTTCGTGAAACAAACGATACCTTCATTTCTTTCACTTTCTTTAATTGAATCTTCGCCCCCCGAAATAATATCGTTAAAAAAAAAACGATTGTATACTTGGACAAAAGTAATCTAAGGACATTTTACATTCTTATTTTGGAGGCCGTTTGTTAGAAATATTGAAATTTTAATTAGTGCAGACGTTAGTTTACATGCTTAGAAGTATGAAAATGAAAAAAAGGGAAAAACAGAAAGTTGTTGGTTACGAGACTTTATGTAGATGTCAAAAAGTCTAATTATTTTGTTATTTGAGATTTTAATCTCTTCCGATTTTCGTGATAGTATGACAAAAATCAAATATACCTATTCTTGGAAATTAAGAAAAAGTAACGCTTCTGGTAGTAAGATATTTATTCAATATTTCTTAATTTTATGAGCATTTGTTGAGTTTACACCATAGGATTTTTTTTAAATCAACTGTCTAGAAACATTTGTTGGGTTCACCTTGTTTATTGCCGACATCCGATGCATTTCTTATCTTATCGATATAGATATCCTCTGGTATTAATAGATAAAATATTAAGCAAATATTGTAATTTCATATTTCATCAGTACCATTAACTAGAACGGTAGATTTATTGATACTTTTTTCGGGGAATAATGCACAGACCCCATCAATACAGTGATCATTATATACCAAACCCAAAACTGGTAGTTAAAGATAAAGACAAAGATCAAAATCCACCACGAGCTGAAAGTTTTAAATGTGTGATATTATAAACTATGTGAAGTACAAAATCTATACCTGTTGTTTTTAATAATGAATGGTAAGTTTGAAAAATTTAATTAAAAATATTGTAGCGTGTTTCAATGAAACGAGCGGTTCTGAATTTATATAAATATATTTATATATAAATTTACAGTTAGATAGTATCTTAACAAAATATATACAAGTTATTATGTGCTAGAATATTCTGGAGAAGCCCACCTCTAATTCGTCTCATCGAAAGCGCATCGAAGACGTGCGCTATTAAAATGCCAACTCTTAAGTTTTTTAGATTTATCCTTCTAAGAATATTGACACACACCACGTATCGGAGATTGGTTATTTCATTACACTGCTCCCCTCTTAGATCTGAGCGTCTTGATTAGCAGCTCCAGATGTAGGCCCAGGATAGCGGAATCTACAGAACTCTCCAGCTCTACACGAACCCCTCAAGAAGAAATAACAGTCTACAGACTTTGAGGACACGATATCTTCGGGTTAATACAACACACAGTAATTCGTACGCCGGTTTCTCTAAAGAACACTTCAAGCATGCTTTTGATAATCTTCCAATTCCAATTTTCTAGTACATGGCCTATCTTGGGTAAGGCCAAGTTCTTGATGTCATAATTGTACACAATCTTCTTCAAATAAATAAAGCACGCCATATATCCTGGTAGCTTGCTCTGTCTGTATACGACTTCATGGTCACTATATACAGCAAACATCGAGGACCATCTTCTAATCTCAGTACTCTTCCAACTTAAGGCTGCTGATTTTTTAACTCGGCCAAACAACCAAACTTCTTATAAACTACGGATGAGATTCCTTTAGTGGGCTAGAAAGACGTTATGCAGAACACTAAAAAGATCCTGCTGAACTCTTCTGTGGTCATGTCGAATCTAGCACTATTTCTCTCTCCGTAATTGGATATAAATTTATTAAAGATTTGTCGCTGGTCAACTTTGATCTCATGTTGAAGGGTTCGTTCTTCTTCTGTTTCATTTGAGCCAGCATATGGTGCAAGACGATTTATGTGAACTACTTTTGGTTTACCTTTCGGCAACTTCTTAATTCGGTATATTACGTCATTTAATATCTTTTTAATTTCGTACGGACCTTCCCATTTTCTTTGCAGTTTAGGAGACAAGCCTCGACGACGTTGTGGATTATAAAGCCAAACAAAATCACTTACTTCATAGCTTTCATTCTTGCATCGGGAATCATATTGATCCTTCATTCTATCGCTTGGTAACTGGATGTGTTGTCGGGCAAGTTCATGAATGTTGTTCATTCTCAACTTCAGGCGGTCGACATAATCTTCGCTTGCATCATGTTCTTTGAAAGGTATGCAGCCACTCTAGGTCGCAGGGCAAACGAACTTCACGACCTAACATCAGGCAGGTTAAGGTCTGGCCTGTAGTTTTATTCACTGTCGAGTGGTAGGCCAATAAGAATAAATGAATGTGATGGTCCCAATATCTTTGATGTTTTAATACAACTTTAAACAGGTGTTTACCAATCGTTTGGTTCATCCTCTTAACCATTCCATCTAATTGAGAATGCAGGGGTGTCGTTCTGGTCTTATTGACACCAATCAATTTACAAACGTTTTGAAAAAGGGTTGACTCGAAATTTCGCCCTTGGTCGGAGTGAATCTCCAAGGGAACACCAAATCGGCTAAAGAACTCTTCAACCTGTACCTCTGCAACGGTAGCAGCTTCTTGATTTGGTATCGTGTAGGTCTCAGTCGATTTTGTTAAATAATCCATGGCTACTAGGATATATTTATTTCCATCATTCGTCTCTGTAAGTGGACTCTTTTCATAGGACTACCAACATTGTACTGTTTCATGGGTGCCCTCTTTTAATCAACTGGACCATTACTGGTTGCACACAGTTCACATTTCCAGATCCATCTTCTTACATCATCTTTACAGTTCACCCATATTACCAAATGAATTTTATTATTACTTTGTATATCATCGCTGAGTTCATTCAACATATCACTGGCAGCCTTTAGATCATCTGAAATCAGAACAATATCATCTGCAAATCGTAGATGACCAAGCATCTCACCATCAATAGTTATTCCTTTACTTTTCCATTCCAGTGACTGTACTTCAAGTATGTATGTTCAAGTACAGTAATTATTACCTTAGGCGACATAGTATCTCCCTGTCGAATACCTCTCTTGATATGTATCTTATTGGTAGGACCGGATCAGTAGAACTTATTATTAACTCATATAAAATAATTAGTTTTTATCAATAGTTTTTAAATCATTTATGTAATTACTGTAATAAATATTTAATAAGCTTTCTATAATTAGGTTTTAACGACAGTAATACATAATAAATTATTTATTTGCAAACATAATATCAACTGCATTTTGTTGGGGCGGTTTAGTATAAAAATTATTATCTAAAATTGCTCTCCTAAATGACAGTAAATAATAAACGGAGAACTGTCAGGTAAATAAGCCCAAATAACAGTAAATTTATATATGATTAGTCTAATAGCTGGATCAGTTGTAGCGGAAGCTAAGATTAGAGAAAAACGAGTTCCCATCACGCACTTTCATTGTTTCGGTGTATTAAAGTGGTTGTCAAAAAATGATCATATCAGAAAGTCGGTACATTATTTATTTAACATATTTGCTAGTTTTTAGTCAACCAACACTAGCGTATTTGAACTGCAATCTTATTGTAAAATTTAGCGCAGCAAAATATGTTTCCAGGGGCACAATATTTGGATGCTTAAATCCACGAGGTATTTATATTGTATATTCAAATAGTATATAATTATTTTTAAAAGTTATACAATTTTTTTATTCTTTCTGTCAAATAGTATTTATATATCAGGTTGACTGCCAGTGTTTCCATTAGGACACACGCTAGATTTCTAGGAGTCCAGTGTTTCTTATAGGAGACACCACCATATATTGTTAGCCGCTGTTTCCTGTAGAATGCAGTTTATTGCATTTTACATTAGAGACGTGTAGTAGTGGCCCCAACGGAGATCTCACGCAAATGGGTTGTGGATACTATTAGTGTTTGTGTAAACAGTCTTCTTAAGGTGCCTTCTCCTTTACTGAAGGTTGACTATAACTACAGCAAATTGCTCTCTATTATGAGCTGTTCTTAGTGTCGAATGTGTGTCCACGCCTGTTCAGTCTCTTACATTCTTCAACCAGGAGCATTTTCTTCTTCCTGGACCTCTTTTTCCTAGTCGTAGGAATTTGTATTTTTCTCCTTCGTAAATATGGACTAGATAACTCGTTTTTATGTTTTTACAATATTTAGGAGTTTTCTCTCAGTACCCATTCTTCTTAGCACCTCATTGTGGGTCATGTGCTCTGTCCAAAAGATCTTTAGCATGTTTCGAGAAACCCACATCTCAAAGGCTTCTATACGCCTCATACTTGTAATTCCGAGAGTATATGTTTCCACTCTGTATATCAATATAGAATAAATAAACGTTTTTATAATTTGGTATTGGATATCCAACGATACCGTAGAGTTTATTAGGAATTTTTTTATTCGTTGAAATGCGGACCTAGCATATTCTATACAAGTACGTATTTCGACCTCGTGGTCAAGATCGTTTGTTATCCAGCAACCAAGATACTGGAATCTTTGTAATATGTTTGTTATAGATATGAATATTAATGCCGACATTTAGTGTACGTGCAACAGCCATTACTTTTGTTTTACTTGTGTTTATATTTAGTCCCAAGCAAAAGATCGTTTGTTATCCAGCAACCAAGATACTGGAATATTTGTTCTGGTTCTTTATGTTTGTTATAGATACGAATATTAATGCCGACATTTGGTGCACATGTAACAGTCATTACTTTTGTTTTATTTGTGTTTATATTTAGTCCCTTCTTCTTCAAGTGCCGTCTCCATCAATGGAGATTAGCGGTTATGGTGGCAAACGTGTGTAATTATATCTTCAGCTGCTCTTAAGAGTTCCTCAAGTCCTGTCCAGTTTCTGATATTACGTAACCATGACAATTTTTTTCTTCCAATTCCTCGCTTTCCTTCTATTTTGCCTTTTATTATCAACTGAGGGATGTAGTATTTCTCGTTGCGCAACAAATGCCCTAAATAACTGGTTTTTCTTCTTTTGACTATTCTCAATAGTTATTTTTCTAAATTGAGTCTAGCTAGTACTTCTTCATTTGTTTTTCGTGCTGTCCAAGGAATTTTTAAAAATCTACGGTACACCCACAGTTCAAATGCCTCGATTCTATTCAGGCTCTTTATTTTTAAAGTCCACGTTTCGACTCCGTAGAGAAGAACAGACCAGATAAAACATTTTACAAGTTTTAATCTCAATTTAATATTTATATGTGTATCGCAGAATAGAACGCGCATCTTAAAGAAACTATCCCTAGCTTGAGCAATTCTCGCTTTAATTTTTTGTTCTGGGTCCAGCTTGCAATTAATCCAACAGCCAAGGTATTTATATTGGTTTACCTGTTCTAAAATATTCCCATTTATTTTTATAGGTAAGGGGATATTCTGTTTTCTTTGGATCACCATTACTTTTGTTTTTTTTTCGTTGATCTTCATTCCAAACTCTCGACAAGCATCCTTAAGGTGGTCTATAACCCTCTGTAAGTTTGTGTCTGTATCAGCCAGTAGGACAGTGTCATCTGCATATCTTATGCTAGATATTGGTTCTCCATTAATTTTTATTCCTGTGGAAAGGTTTTCCAAGGCTTGCTTGAATAGTAGTTCCGAGTAAAGATTGAACAGCATAGGGGATAGTATGCATCCTTGCCTTACTCCTTTATTTATACTAATATTTCTAGATGTATGATCGTCGATCCTTATCTTGGCACTCTGCCTCCAATATAAGTTCTTAATTAATCGGAGATCTTTACTATCCAAGTTGATGCTCTGCAAGGAATTTAACATTTTATTATGGTTTACGCGATCAAATGCCTTTTCAAAGTCTACAAAACATAGAAAGACATCCTTTTGTTGGTCGTAACACTTCTGCAGTAGTACTTGTAGTGAAAACAAGACCTCTCTGGTCCCCATTCCGGCT